GCAGATTAAAAATGGTTCCTCCTAAAATAGGCACAGCGAAAACGCTCACTGTAGGTGGGACTCTTGGTGTGGTCTCGGACGTGCTACCCTTCCAAAAACCTGACCACAATTAATTAGTCCATTCTCGGGGCTTCCAATTTCGAAAATAAAAACATTTTGCACATTTTGGTGCTTGGAATCATGACATTGGAGGCTTCGTGGACTTTGTTACCTCACAAATTGCCCACGTCATCTGTGCGTGCGCTACGGTCATTTATTCAGACTTTTTCAGTAAGGAAATTCTTTCTTCTCAGGGTAATTCTGCTTTAATGTGAACCAAGGATGTTTTAGTACAGCACACCAAACTACAGCTTTGCCAAACTCAACACCTCTACCGGTTCGCTATTTAGTTGCAAGTTAACTAGACCAATAGACGTCCGCAAACACGGTGCGAACGCCCAAAACCCTCTACTGTTTTTTTCCATGGATGGAAATTCCAATGCAAGATTCTGCATAAATTTACGCGTCCCTAGGATGAAAGGTCCCATTACCGGTCCGATTTTTCCGTTTTGCATACCAGTTGCCCCCTTACAAACGTTGTCACAGTAAACCAAAGCTCTGACGTTTGGACACTCAAGAGTAAATTCCACCTTGCTAAGTGGTTTGGTCATGAGATCGAAGTCAATTAGGTTGCTTGAAAATGTGGACTTTGTCATTAACTTAAAGAAATACAAGGCTGGCAGAAGTTCTCTGTGAAAAGGAAAGAATTTCTTCGAAGGGCACCCCCAGACAATGCAGTAGCTAAGTACAAGACAGAGTTTCAGTATAATAACTGCACGCAGAAGTCTTCTTGAGTGGTTGAAACCATGGTAAATTTACTCACGCTCAATGTAAGTCTCATTGGGAAGTCAATAGAGGGATAGGCTGTGATGCCGGGGCCCTAGATACCACATTTTGAGTCTCGGCATAGATGTGGTTTTCAGCCTGAATACTCATCGATAAAATCGAAATCAGCGTAACTAAACACAAAAACCAAATCCAGAATCCACATGTACAGCTTATTACCCTGGTCAGTGATTCATAGAGATTCTGAAATAATCTAGACCTTAGGTTCAGTTTGAAAGTCAGCATAAATGTAGTTTTGTAGGAAAGGGAGAGACGCTACCCCGACTGCAGATTGCCACGTACGCAATTACGATTATGCGGTATACACTAAAATCTGACTGCGTGATTTCAAACACCGGATTATTATTAATGCCTCGCCGTTGCTGCTGAATTTCAATCACTGACATAATGTGACACGTCAGATATAGAGTGGCAATACGTATCTTATCGATTGGCTTGATTAGTCTCTTCACAGATCATAAAGGACTCATTTTACGACCTTGAGATATGCCAATCATAACATGATACTCGCTAGAAACATTGGACACAGGTAACGAATAAGTTGAGCCGTCAGAAGAGTACACAAATCAAGTAGACTGTTCTCAAAACACAGTTAGAGTGTCCACCAGGTTCGATCGCGTCCACGGCATCACCAACCAACTTGTACACTTGTCTAGAGCTTTCGATAAGAATGCTTTAACCGACTAGAATACACGTTTGGGTTTTCGCTTTTGTGATCAACCGACACTACACTCACAAGTTAACTGGCTAGTATTGTGTGTCGTGATTGTCCTCGGAAAGATGTGTAACCCGTTGTTTTGCTATGACGCCTTTCAATTATGGCCTAAGTAAACAGGACACCACAATATCTAGATACTGGTAGGGATTATGAAAAGACCTACCCAGCCAAATTATCTCTTTTCCCTCTTGCATAAAGGCAGAAATTGCCGATATGTATTCCCTTGTCTCCTCCTTAGCCTCAAGCGATGAATAGTCCGGCGGGGGATACTTACTTCGTGTGAAAACCATCCCTCTAAGATACTTGTGGGCCGTCGATTGGGCAACGGTCACAGACATTTCATCTTGCAACCGGCGGCAAATTTGTGCAAGCGTTATCTTGGGGTCAACCTCGAACAGATTACACACAAACTCCACCACTTTGGGATTCACGTGGCTGGGTGATGATCGCTGCTGGGCTTTCAGCTGCCTCAATTTCACCTTCTGAGTTGGGCGTTTGTGTGCGGAGGCGACCCAGTAGTAAGCTGCTTGGTGGCGCACGCCGAGTTCCTTGGCCCTTTGAGACCAGTTTTTGCCTTCTCTGGCACAATTGATGATTTCCTCTCTCACCGACTTGGGGTATCTTCGGGTGGCTGCCAACGGAGTTAAAAGTTCCTCGTTCATTTGGCTCGTTAGTGAAAATTTTCTACAATCCACGAACGCGTTGCGAAGTGGCATTGATTTTGTTCGTGAAATGATTGGCTGTCACACGCATGCCTAGAGCTATTTTTTCATTGGTTGGCGCAGGTGTGTGAAAATTGCTGCGTAGATAGCTCGCAAGAAGCGCATTTATGCCGCGTAATGAAAAAATGCTTGATTTGTTTGCTTGTAAAGAGCTAGATAACTTGGCAAACCTCGATTGAAATCATAGAAATGCATTCACAAACCAGGGTTTCAGCTGACTTCCTTTAATGCGGAAAATATTTGTCAGAGGTACAAGACAGCTTTAGAATCTTCTGCAAAGTTTAGAAATCGAATCTACAATCTGTTGCAACAACGCCAGTAAAAGAAGACAAAGGTATTGTCCATTCAATGTGCACTCACGATTTCAAATTAGCTGGGCGTTCACGGGTCTTTGTCTGAAGCGGTCGACGAAAATTGAGGGAGAGCATTGAAAGTAGTAACACCTTTCAAACTGCATTATAAAAACTCTCAGTACTTATGGTGTTATCTCCCACACGATTATATCAGCGCCCTTGCGCTAACGATTCAGCATCGAAAAAAGGCGAGTCGAAGTCTCGAAATCACAAGATTATCTTATACAACACGCGCAGCTCACTAGAATGGACCAAGCAGCCAGGCTAGCGGAATTGAAGACATGTCAATGAATCGGGTTGTGCAGTGCTTGCGTTCACACCCAACACTACCACCCTCCCAAGGGCTTTGTCACCTTCTGTGGCTGTTGGTATTATTTGAGCCTATCGATACTGATTTAGCCACAAACTTTTACCGATTGGGCCAGACCCACACCATCCTACACATTCGTGATGACTTGTCCGTCTGGGGGTCTGGCCAATACGTCTTATGCGTAATTTATTTCGTGTTTCTTGAATTTCGGCTAGGCCTACCTCGATCATAGACAGTTCAGTTAGCTGCCAAACGACCTGCTAGAACACAGAATGATAATTTTTACTAGGCTTGACTTATGCAAATCTGGTTTCAATAATTAGGACACTTCAGTTATCTGGACTCCCACTTACGAGGAATTTCTTTCTTCTTGTAAAACTTCAGCAAATCTGACCAGACTGATCAGCACCACATCATACAATAAGCTATAATTCAAAAGCCAGTCAATGTGTGCTACCCATTTGGCTGAGAACTCCATACCATAATGCTTATTGTTGAATGCGATCCAACAACTGATCTGCGATTTAAACCATTGCGGGGTAACAATACACACCTGTAGGTGGTGGTGTTGGGGATCCACGATACCCCCAATATTGTTCGTCGTTGGTTTCTGGCGCTATTTACACTAATTCACTAAAATGTGTTTTATTACGCTTTTTATCAGGTCAAGGTCAAACTTGACTTGAATTATTTTCACGTTTGACAACTCTCTCTTCACGATCTCTGGTCTTGTTCTTGTGTTAGCGTGGGAAGGTCGGTGCTAGCGTCAGGAATGGATCGAGTACCGTTATTTGAGTGGGTGTTTTCTCTTTGTTACGGGCAAACGTAGCAAGTGGCACCATGGGGAAAATCATTTCATAACCTACAGCACAGTGACTTGGTGGTTTGAATGATTCAGGTAGTAAGTGATAAATGCAGCAGACGCCTTTCAGTGTAATGTTTAGCTCATGCTAAAGTAGGCATGACCCCCACCGTATGCATACACATACAAAACACAAATTGGTCACAGCTGCCTCGAACTAGATTTTTCACAGTCTCAGACAAACGCCGAATGCACGTTCAGATGCGCCCATTTATAAAATAAGCGTGGGTGGCCTTGAATGCAATTCAGAGTAATAGTACACTCGATGATGAATGGGGAAATAGCCAGGGGTAGCCGATGTGAATACAAAATGACGTACATTAAACATGAATGATAATTAAAAAGAGAAGATTGAAAACTATTGTACCGGGATGCCGTGGGATTTTTCTCACTTTGAGGTGGTTTCGGTGCCTAGATCAAGTGGTCCGACCCACCGGCACGACGAACACGACCTTGTCTTGTCGACCTGCGATAGATCCCTCAATCCATGGGTCATGTCTTTGTCGGTAATCTCGAATGTACACGACTGTCCCAATCTCAAATGAAGGTGTAGATTCCACTAGTGGAGACTCCAGGAGCTTGCACGGTTCTTGAGTCATGGCGCAATTGATTGTCCTCAACTTACGAGATGGTCGGTTTGGAAGAACCTCATATAGTGATGAAGAATACAACAACAGGAGACTAAAAGTTATCGACTGGCGTTGTCTCCTCTCCACAAGAGTTGGGCAAGAACCGCTTCAAGGTGTCGGTTTAGCCGTTTGACTGTGAGTGGTAGTTTGGGATACGAGTGTGGGTGATGGCGTGGTTCTTGCAGAACTCTTGGAATTGCCATGAGATAAACTGAGGGCCACTGCTGTCGACAATGGTTTTTGAAATTTTCTGTTAGCTTAAAATTTATGATCGGGCTTGTATTGCTCTCATTGTTTTGGGAGAAAATAATAATAGCGGTCTCCGGCCACTTCAAGCAGGCGTTCACTAACACAAGGTACGAAACCCCGTTGAGCGGTCCTGTAAAATCAATAATGACGCTGTACTAGTGCTTCTGTGGTTGTAGCCAAAGAACTGAAAAAACCGTTGGAGGAATTTTCGGGGGGTCTCCTGGAATCGGGGGCAACTTCAGACTAGATTTGCGGCTTATTGGCCCAGTTGCGGCCACTGGGCATGGCTGCGGACGACATGCTTCAAGTGGCTACTACCGAGAGGCACAGAATGAAATTGACAAAGGGAGGGAATTAGACTTTGTGACGTAAACTTTAATTATCAAGTAGCCATCCACAACGCAGAGGGACTCGCATCGTTGGAACAGTTGCTAAATTCTCCAGTGAAGGACCATTTTGACCACTACCTTGGACGCAGCAGATAGTCTGATGCTGTGTGGTTTCTAGGTTTGTCTCCCACTGAATGTCGAAAATCGGGACCGCTGGTACACAGTCATTCTGCGATAGTTGTTGGGTGACGCTGTGGCAACAATGGTGGCGTCCTTTTTGCTAGTAGGCTGGTAACTCATGAGACCTGATGGGGCATCCGCCTGGCCGAAGTCCTCGGTGCGGCGGTATAGGATTCTCAAGTCGTAGCCAAATTGGACAGGCGCCAGATTTGTCGGTGGCCTCCTGAGTGAGCTGAGTGCTGAATCTGAAGATTGAAAGCAGTGACATGCATTTCATTGGCAGCGGAAATCGTTCGAAAATAATAATGCTTGTGAAAACGCTTGCCGTGAAGGCCAAAGCGATAGCATATTGCTAAATCTGCGCTTATAGCTGCTCTGCCGTTGTCCGTAACAGAAATGCATGCTTAACAGCCTTTTCTGTATCGCTAGCATAAGTGCATGGCATGATGGCTTGGATATCACTGGTAGATTTGAATTATACAGTGCAAGCAGCATGTCAGAGTTGTGCATTGAATAGAGCTTACAGACAGTCTCTTTAAACGCGTAGGAACATATCCAATGCACATCCATCTCATGCCGAGTGACAGCTGATCAGCTCAAAGAACGGACACAATCGCGGAGCATCCTTGGGCGTCGGCATTTATTAAATGGCGCGGATTTAAAGCTCATTGTCTAGACTCCACTGAAAAACCTCGTCGAATCAATTAAGTAGCTCATCTGCCGGGGCATGCTATCACACCAGAAATGCCAAACAGATTAACGCCCATGAATTGCTGAAAAATAGCCGGAGCAATCTGGACTCTAAAAGGTAGGCAATTGGTTTCGGACAGACTGCGATGAGTACTGATGGTTAGTTGTGTGCCAGACGGAGGGGTGACTTCTAGGTGGTGGCTGACTTCAGCCAGATCGAGTTTGCAGAAGCATCTGCCGCCACTTAGAATTGTGAACAGGTCTTCTGGGGCTGCAAAGGGCTAATGGTGAAAAAGTTGGCGCTTGTATGGATTGAGCAATTTGCGTTTTTAACCCCTACAATTGGAGGAGAAGGAACTTTATACAGGGAATGGAACACTTTTGAGTTTGGCCAGTGTCAAGAGGTGGCCTACGATTCAGAACAGTGTTCCAGGCCAGACTAACCAATCATAGCAAACCGTTTGATGATGTCCACCTTTTTTTCGTAAGACCTTTCCGAGAAACGCGGGTCGTTGCAAATGTACATGATCTGGATATCGTCTAAGCCCAGTTATTTGAACGGATCCACACCTAGGTTATTCGGTTTGGTCTTTGTGACATAGCACGAACCGCTGAAAGTTCTTCTGCGTAAGGAACTTGGAGCTCCCCACCACAGGCACTGAAGTAAATCGAACTATAGGCCTAACGAAGAAGCACTGCTGTTATTCCGAAATGTTGGTGACATCTGAGCTCGTGTTTAATTGCAGACGTATTGGACAGCTAGTGATGAAGACGATTGCATACGCTGACCTCGGAGGTGGTCCCTAGGCCATACAAGCGACGGGTGGCTTGTGCTTCGGCATCTGCTCCTCCTTGTGAGTCACTTGGCCTTGGAGGTCAAGAAGTCCGTCAGAACCCTTCTCTATGGCTCTACTTGTATGGGCAGAACCTGAAAAAGTGTAAGGCTTCACAGTTCCAGTACCCAGAAAAGGGAGTGCCCTTTGCTCTTTTTCGATGATTCCAGCCGGTTTGCCTCTAGTTCGGCTGTGACTGCCGATCAAAGAGGAGTGTTACTTGGATATCCACTGCAGGGTCTGAAACGGCTTCTCAGAAGATCGGTTTCTTGGAGTTTCAGAGAGGATAGTGTTGCGGTACCCCTTTAGCTCCGCTGAACCAAATTTGCAGAGCAGAAGTTTGACCTTCCTGTGACGTCAGTTCGAGCCGGAACAAATCTTCGTGACGTTTATGCCACTGTTAGAACGATTCCCCTTTTTGCGGATCACAGACGAACTCCGCCAAAATGCCTGTTAAGCCATCAATTGACGGCTCACCGATCGGAACCACCTGCATGGATTGAGAACTCTGGTGACCTGAACAGCAGTGTCAACCGTTCAAAAAATTATTTCATTTATTTATCGTCCATTTCACTTTGGCTGCCAATTTGTAACAGCTTACCGGTGCACGGGTGCATTGCCCCAGATGCAAATAGTGGAATTCCTTGTCTTGTACGTCAACGACGTTGCTCTCACGGGTACAGAGATGAGATCACGCGAAGCGAGATTTTTACCGTCTCATCCGAAAGCCGAGCATGCGTTCAGATGTGCCGGCATATGAATGGTGTGGGCGGCCTTTAGTACAGGTAAGAGTAATGGTGTGCTCAAAGATGAATGGCCAGTGATAGGCACTGAACAAGAATGATAATGAAAAATAATATTTGGATGCTGAATTAGCAACACAGCCCAAGCCATTTAGCCGTGTCCAAGAACTAGCTAAAAGCGTCTATATCACAGTGCTTTCAGTAGTTTTTCACTTCATTACGAATTGGGGCTTGAAAGCGAGAACAGGCTGTTCGGTTTTCCTAGGAATTGCCACACTTATAACCACTGATGCACTAACCCATAGACAAGTCATCTTAAACCAGATCTACATAAATGGCAAAAGAACTTGTCTAGGATTTCTCAACATTTCCCAAGTCTATTTAGTTGGAATTATGGAAATGAGGAATAAGCTTAAGTCAAGTAGGAAACGATTCTTTGCATGCCCTCAAGCTGAAATCGGGCAACATTGAACCGGCTGCAGTCTGAAAATTTACCAGAATTTATTACTAAGTCGAACGCAAAGTTAAAAAAAAACAGAAATGCTACTTATCAGCTAAACATAAGTTTATTGACCAAAAAATGTTGAGCAAGTGTGCTCATTGAAGTAAAAATCTTTGACAGGATGATTTAAGCGCGGAAATCTTTTTCAAGTCATCTAAGAACGCCTCAGGTCTTCTGCAACCCCCCAACAGCTACCTTGCCAGGGCCACCCTAGTCATTTACTAGGACCGTCCATGGCCACTGACTGGTCATTCATCAACCTTACATTTCCCCCGTTAGTTATATGTATTACCTTTTATTTGCCATATATATTTAAAGTTGACTGATGAATATTACAACGAAATGCACTTAATTCATGAATTAGATTCATTTGTGGATCCGAAATTTCAATTTCTTGTCCATCCTAAGAGAAAGGGAAGCAGCTTGGTTCGACACAGCCTCAGATGTTGCCCTAACAAGATAAGTATGCAGAAATAATACCTGAAACGCTCTAACTAGGCCAGCACTAAACACTGAGGTGTGTTGGTACAAGTAACAATTAGCGGAACTGTGGTGACAGATTTCAGATGCATGTAATGCAGTCACTGAAACTCGTAACAAAATTACATTACTAATAGTGCAATGGGAGGTCAGCAATCGCGTTTAAACAAGGAGGAGTTCTGAAACGAGTGCAGCTGTGACCTAGTGGAATAAAGCGACGAGAGACAGTAGGTTCGATTGTTCCTGCTTAGAAGATATACGTAGATAATCGTATAGCCTTGTACCAAAATTGGCTTCATCTGACACTTTTTACAAATGCCCACACTAGCAGATTTAAAAGCATTCATCATGCAGGGTTGATTTTGAACATATAAATATGTAATAGGTTAATGAGTAAATGGTGTGCTTTCACTCTTATTTCATCGCAATAAAATAATTTAGGAACAAAGGATTCTGAGTGACAGGACACGATATCCAAGATCAAGGGAGAAGCATTCGGGTTGAGAAATATTTCCTAATTACTTCGAACTCCTTTTATAGGTTTTGACTGAGGATCTTTGCTGTATTCTTGCATTAAACAAGATTTATCAACGCATTTGCCAGTATTGTCACAAGAAGGATGACTAAACCCCTGTAATCGAATCCATCACAAATGTAGTGCTAGTAGTTAGTCGAATCTTCTGGGTAGTACATTTTTTTCCGATTTTCGAAAATTCAAACAGTAAATTGAAGTGTAAATTTATTGTAAAACAGTTTGTGGTGGATAGACTACCGTAATTTAAAAACTGCTAAAGAGTTATCGTTAATACGGACAATATTGCCTTCATATTCAAAGTCCTTCTTCTGAAAAAAGCTGCTAAATGAAGATCATTCGATAGCTTTTCATCACTACACATTACATCAAGCAAGGTTCTTGGTATATTCATCCGTTGCAAGACACATATTACTTTTTTTGGTATATGAGGTTGTCATTTCCTTAATTACCAATGTTTACGTTGACTATTTGTCCAATTTTGTCACTCTTAAACCTTCCCAAATTTCAAAATCAACATCGTGAGTGGTAAAAAAATGACACATAATCAAAATCATCCGATCCAGGAAATATGCTTGGTAATTTGGGAACTTTTATACACTCAAATATATCTGAAATGCTTAATCAGACAGAAAGCAATCTGCATTGTGATATTACAAACATGCACACTGGCATACCAACCTTGAAATATTCAGCCAAGTGATTTTCAGCGAAAAGTTGAGACCATTTTCGTTGGTCTGCTCTAAGTCTTTTATTTTATCCACAGCTTCTTTCAATCGTTTTTTACTAATTATCTAAATTAAATAATACTTTTGCTAACCTCAGAATTAGTTTCTAGACTATTGCATCGAGTAAACAATTTCAGTGAATCAAAACGTCAGCATAAAACAGTTGCATTTTTGTCTTATCCTGCAACAAATTTTAAAAGTTTCTGTATAGAATTATAAAAAGCACATATTTTGATACCAGTTAGATTTTTAAGTAATTTCTTCATTTTTATCTCATTATTCTGATAGCGCGTAATTTGATTTCGTCGGTTGGCTTTAAGTATCATATTTTATATTGCACCATGCCCCTTCCGCCAGCTTTGGCAGCCCGTCTCGCTAGGCGGGGACTCATAGAAAAGGAGAAAAATGAAGGTTTGTCATACATGCTACAGTTTATCCCGTGTAATATTTCATATACTGGAGCCTGTATATTTCGCCATTTGGACATAAATCGTGGTGTCCGGCTAAAAATACATTTTCTTTGCTATTTCAAGTTCTATTGCATCGGTTGTATCATTTTTACCATTTCATTCGCATCGAAGCTTAAGCAAAGCTTATTTTAGTCTTCGTGTCTAAGGTAAATCTGCACTTTTGGTTATTACGTTTAACACTATTTTTTAAAATATTTAAGTACTGGAGGCCGGTTTTTGGCGCAGTTGGTGTCTATGATGTGATTCCGCAGATTTCTATTTTTGTGCTGCTGCAAAATATTTAGTTCTCATTGAGGCATGTGTTAACTGTCTTAGAAGGTACCAGTTTATTAAGAGCTACTAATTTTGCATTTGGTTTGACTTCACTTTGTATATATATTCTTGGATTTAAACGTTGCAACCTCACTTATTCTACTGAACATTCCGAATGTCGTCTAATCCTTATTTTAGAAGAGGTATTTGCCGAGAGCTATGACAACGATGGTTCAAGCACAGTACCTCCTGGTTTAAAGGGTATTAGCCCCGTCCCAATTATCGAAAATGGAACGCTTATTCATGAAATAGCCGCCTGCCCAAATCTCGCCAACCCCTACCATGAATGCACGGCCTACTGCTTCGAGCGATACGGTCGTCGCACTTTTAGACAATGTGATCAACGTCTTGGTCGCTTACGTGATCGTATGCTTCGTCGATATCCTCTGCCGAGCCACTGGATTGAAGTAGGGGACCCAGTAACTGGACGCTTTTATTACTGGAATACGGTAACCGATGAGGTTTGTTGGCTCTCTCCTCTTCATCCAAAAGCAAAAATTACGAAGTCAGCAAGTGTTCTGCGTGCCCAGACACTTGCAGCAAAAGCCGCGGCCGCTGCAGCCTCGGCGGCGGCTTTGGCTGGATCTGACGGAGAAGGATCAGATGATGATGATGACGAAGCAAACGGAAGAGCCCGTTCGCGCTCCCCCACACCACCTCCACCACCCCCACCCACCAACATGATGCCCCCTCCATCCGTACCCCCACCTTCCTATGCCAGGCTAGGGAACGCTATTAGACGCCCACCAAGATGTGAGCTCATTTCACCGTATTAGTAGTATTAGATGGATGCTTTTAATACCTTAGTTTTAGTACTTCGACCCCAAAAATGTTTATTTTACTCCCTCTTTCGTGGTTAGAGTCGTTTCTTCTGTCACTTGTTACATTGCTATGGCCTGCTATCGGTTTCTACTAGTTGTCCAAAACAGCCTCGGTGTCAGTACTGTAACCTGAAATTTTTGGTGACGCACTAAACAACTATCGTGTCTTCCACAGTTGAAAAACGTGGACGCGGAAGTGCCGATGATCCCCTAGACCCAATGGACCCCTCGGCCTACTCGGATGTTCCCCGAGGGGGCTGGACTGCCGGCTTGGAAGGCGCCTCGGGTTCCACGCCCTCAGCAAAGACGGGCGTCGATGTCACGGCCTCCGGACCTCTCTTTCAGCAGCGACCTTATCCTAGCCCTGGCGACGTCCTGCGCGCCAACGTCGCAGCGGCCTCTAGACAACGACAGGCTCTATAAGCATTTTTTCGTATCAGTAAAACCCTTTATTGCTTGTTTTAATCAGTCTTGTGTACTATTTGTCTTTCAGTAGCTAAAATCATTTGATAATTCTTAAGCCGTGCACGTTGTGCGTCTTCAACACTGTATTTCTAATGCGAATTTAGTTATCGGTGTAACCATTGATATCACCCCGCCGATCAGAGTAATTAGATGACTTGATGCTAGAAGCATTGTGTGGGTTATGCAGTAGCTTTGAAGACTGGAGACTGGTACTGCGGTGTCCACGTTGCAACCTGCCTGGCCACAGTTGGCGCCTTCTTCCTGAATTTCTGCGTGTTTACTTGTCCGTTTTTCCGAACTGCTGTTATTGGAATGGACTTCGGTTAAGTTCGCGCATTGTTTCCAAGTCTGGCCCATTCAGGATGGTCAAATCTGTATTATTAGACACCAGCAGTCTGAATTCCTAAGCCGCGGCCTTGGGTTCGCTTGCACTCTCCGATCTATCCGGAAAGGCGGTCACTCACGTACGCGCACACCCTTGACATCGTACGATGTTTTCGAGCCCTCTTGTAGCTGTCTGAAAATTGTGACACAAAGACACGGAATCAGCTTCAAACGCGATTTGAAATCGGCTTTTTACACCGTTGACTGGACAATTGATGCGACTGGATTGCTCCAGAACCACTGTGTTCCCCAAAAATCATTTTTGTACGTTTTGTCAACTAAATACACAAGTCCCATTATAGTTATCACTGACACAGTATGTATTCGACAAGTTAGTCACGAATGATGTATACACAGATTCTCAGTTTCTTCATTACCGCCTCATTTGTGTTGAAGAGGCTCCGTCCAAGTGCAAAAAAATCGATAAATTAGTGATCGAACTTCGCTTGATCCTTCTCGGTACAAATGTCGGAGCCTTCTGATCCTATGAGATTAAACAAATGCTAAACGATTATTTGATGCTGTAGTAAGTCAGATGTGTGGTGGCGGAAATAGTGTACTTAGTGTTCTTTGAATAAGCTGTGCTGGAGCCCAACGTCTTCTGAACGCTTGACTGATTTGCCTTCATACATAAACATCTAATCAATCGAAGCGTCAGTAATGTGTAGTGAAAACGGAGGACTGCTACCTGGGGGAATATTGCAAGGATATAGCTTGAGTTCGAGGGTGACAAATACGTTCACATCATCGACACGGTAACCTATCACAATGTTCCTCTCAAGAATCTGGGACAGAGCGCTATATGCGGGCTACATTCAAACAAGTGGTGATTCCTGGGTCGGAGCAGATTCCACCTCTACGGGAATGCGCCTATGTGGATTCAATCGGGACACGAAGAGTTGAAAGGCAGATGGCGGGCAGTCAAGGCGTTCGACTGTGTGGTTCGATGTCCTTGCCTTAGATTTCAGTGGCAATAATGACGCTCACACCAATGCGGCTAATCGAGTCAAATTTCACCGGTGGCAATAGTAACACTGACACGCATTGTTAGCATTAGACACACAAGCACACCTGTTGAATGTTGGATGGCATTGAGGAGGGACGAAGCATGGCCGGCTGCTGAGGCTGACGCGAGGCTAGCAGCCAGTCAACGAGTGTCGACTGTGCATTCGACATCGGTTCCCGACCAACATCACCTCCACCGGTGCTGCAGAGCTCCGCCGTCCTGAAATGGGCCTCGTGAAGGCTGTTAATCAGCTCGACAATGCTGGCCTTGGGCACTTCACCTACGGGACGACAATACCTGCCTTAGCAAATCTCAAGTTGAGAATAGAAAGCAAAGTAGGTGGGGATGGTTTGAGAAATTGCGTGTGGAATTAAAGAAATGAAAAAAAGCTGAATAATTTATACTTTCTAAGTGGGACTCAACGAGGTGATGCGTAGTTGACTACGTAGATCGCCAAATAACAATGGCACTTGGTGCCACACGGATGAAATTCCAAGCTCATTGCAAACGAAAAGGCGTGACATACTAGACGAGATGTGGTCAGCTACCTGAAATGGTGGGCTCCCATTGGTGCCCCGTTCTAGGCCCACCTACCCCACCAGCAAGCCAAGCGTCACCAAAGCGAATCACAAGGGAGTGTGAATTGAGCAGATCACAAAGTTGGGACCCATGTGGAATGAAGGTGTTGTTGAGTTCCCGAGCAGAAAAGTACGACTTTCTAACAGCATTAGCCCCAACACACGGCAGCACCTTGTGGCTTCTGATACCTTCTGAAAGATACTCGAAACATGGCGTAAGATTATCAAGCTGTGAAGTCGACGGTGGATGGCCTTGTGGAAAGAATGTGCCGTGAAACGGGACGACTGTTTGTGCAGGGAGGAGATGGCTGTTCAACGACAACATCTGGACAAGGCTAGTCTGCAGTGAAGGGAAACAGATCGCACTCACCGGCTGCTCGTGTGCCAGTTACGCCGTCCAAAACGACGCGGAATTTGCTTGCCAAGTCGGAGCTCCAGATGCTAGAGAGGTTGGTCTCGAACAACGCCCTCAACAGCTGAAACAATCGTCAAACATTTGCCACATATAAAACCACCAAATAATGCTGCAGCATGCCAAAATAGCTGACTTTGCCCTTCAGCGACTCCAGATGCTCGTATAATTACCACTTTGGGTTTTAAAACATTCAATTATGAAAAGGTTACTGCTACAGAAATTACAGTATAGATAACTTAAGCGTGATAGATTAACAGTTTCCGAACTAACACAAATTACACACCGGCTTTTGCACAACGCATAAAAAAAATTAATTAAATCACTAGACTGAGGTTACTACACTCATGATGCTGCAATTTCGATGGTTGAAGGCCTTTCAGTAAACGAGAGATCGCGCTCAAGGTCGAGACCAGCAGTTCCATGGTACGATCCTCAACACTTGTTGAAAATTCGGAAGACTAGGAGGCAGGGCTTAATGCCAACAAGAAGACTGGTGTTTGTGGGGCGCGAGAGTGTTAGTCTGATTTAGGAAAGCAGACGTCATTTTGAAATGACTGGATTACCTAGGCAACGTTGGCACCCATGCAAACTTGACAAAGAACTGTTTCACCCATTCGTGCAATTCACGGGGACTTCGTTTAATTCACAAGCTAGAAACAGGCTGTATGCCGTTCTCGTGATTGGTGCAAAGTGTCTAAATCGCATGACTTCGCCTTCAGGGTCAAATGGGCTTCGAGAATGTGTCTTGCTTCGCGTTTTATCTCAGCCACGTGGTGTCGAAAGCTGCCGTTCACCCACACGGCTGTCAATTCTGGGCTCACTTTAGCGTAGGTGGCGTAAGACCCGTGGGGAGTGTAGCGTAGGCTATTCACTAATGAAATTAGTGTAGATGGACCCGTCTAGTGATTGCAGAACTTTAGGAAAAGAAATCAATGCTTTCAAATTGGAGAATGGCAGGTGGGAGCACCCAAATCCCCTGTGCATTTAACCTGAAACAGTGGCGAGTTTGACGTAAACTGGACAGACAGGCAGACAGAAACTTTACTCCAGAAACACTGGAGTCTGATGAAATGTCCGATAGGTTGACTTTTTTAGAACCATACTTCTTGTTAACATGTTTATTGTGCTTGTCCAATTGTTTGTCAGAAAAGTGGGTCACCGCGAGAATGATGTACTATTTCGTCACTCAGGCGGAACGAGGTTAGTACATGACGAAACCCCCCTGTGAAATTTCATCTTCCAAAACCTAAACCAACGGAATTTCATTTTGAATGTAGCGGTAAGTCTTAAACATAATCGCTTCTATTTGGTTAAACAATGGTTCTACGCTCACCGATCGATGAATTGTGTTTCACTGTTTTCACTTGTTTTGATTTATGGGGCAGTGATCTTTCTTATCAAGAATTGTCCCTTTTAAAATAATACTTGTGGTTTTTAAGTAATAGGTGAGGTAATATGAGAAACGACATATTATGCACATGAAACTAAGTAATATTGTATTTGTCTACCGTAAATAAATAGCCTTCGCCCAACTTACAACCCGTCTAGGAAAAAGCGGTTTTTTCGAAAGCACCGCATAAAACAGCAATGGTTCTATGGTAATTGTAGTGCACTAACCTGTTCTTTTGAACTGTCAGAATCAAACAAACGCTTTTAACGTGTGATTCGACGATATGTAGGTTGTTTTGGCTCATATCCTGAGTGTCATGGTTTGATGCTAATTCAGTCATCTAGATGTTGTCGATTTTGGCTTAAGTCGGTCCTGTCAATTTTGTTTTGTGTTGAGATATTTCAAGGTGATTTTGTTTCAAGGCTTGTGTAGCTGTTATGCAATCAAGAATTGTGGGGAGGATTACACTTGGTTTGCACAGATCCAAGAGGTACATTTCCCCCTTTTACAAATCCTTGCTTCGTCACGTAGTATTATTGAGTCCCAAACACACCCACAACTTGGTGAGTTGCAAAAATTCAAACAAACTTTCACGCTAATGCTGCAAGCCGCCTTGATCTACAGGTGTCGTTTGTTCTACGTGGCAATGTACGCCAGCGTGTATGCAAATGTTACTTGTAGCTAACAGGCTACCGGACAAAAATATCAACGAGCCCACGTCCACGTGTTAAATAACGTCGAATATTCAGACTCATTTTTAACACCTCCTTTATTCGGGATTTTCTAGAAATATCTCAAGAGTGCTGGTGGCTAAAATAATGCTCCATTAACGGAGACTGGAGATTATCAAATTCACCGATTATACTGGTGCCGGGGTGCATATTCAAGCTATGACTTCTCATTTCACCTATGATGTGAAACGTTTCTATATGGTATGATTGAAAAAAGCTTGTCCGCTTTTGACGCAACGGGAGCTGCTTTCATTGGGGATAGAAGGAGGATTGAAGGGACTAGATGGACAAGGCAGGGTCCCAAAGTTCTCGAAGTAACCTGGACAATTCGAACACAAAACAAAATTCGAGGATCAACAGCATTTAATTTCAGTGTTTGACAAAATTCATTAAGGCGTTTGTTAGTTGTACCGTAACTGCTACGATGTTTGCTCGGAAAGGTTAGCACTGATAATATTTCACATTTCATGAAAACGTCATCAGTATGAAAGCTGGGGGATGATGAGCTATGAAGTAACGCACTATCAAACAGATATTTGCCTTGAGGCTGATGAAAATTATATAATTGTTCCCACAATTCCCAGCAACTAACGCATATTTTTCACATTTATAGATAATGGAAAATCTTGCACATTAGTTGTACCGTGGAATCAACCCCAAAGAACGACTACATAACAATCTTGAACTGAGTTCTAGAGTGGCCAATACAGCTTGTCGTGCACGTTTCATTTTAAGATAGCATTGTAAGTGAAGGAGTTAATTGTGGGGGAAATGACTTGAATAAAAGTACTCTTAGAGTACTACCAGGCATTGTTAACATTTCCATCGCTAGTGGAAAAATTTGCTATGTTTTGTGGCATCATTAGTAAAAAAATCAAAAGTGCCTGAAGCGGCAAAATGCAGACACACTGTTGCAAGATTAACTGGGCCATGTGATTTACCGTTTTTTCTAAATGAGGAGCGACAGAGGACCAGTTTATTTGAAAGTTCAATCTGTTGAGTAAAAACGGATTGTCTACAGCAGCAGATGCTAGTTGAGATAAACTTCAAAGTTACCGAAGTCATGTTTACGCAGTGAAGAGATAATGGCAACAGTATGGTGAACTGCTGAGACGTCGTTTACTATTCATGGTTGAAACTTTAATAAACACAAAACGCACATAAAAGCTAATCAACCCGACCCCTCAATAGCTGGCAAAACGTGAATCCACTCCTCTTCACGTCCACGCAATACCTCAAACGATATAGCCTTACGAAAGGCGGACTGCATTAGCAATTAGATTTTGTCATGTTATATTGCCGCATGCTTCAGCTTTTTAAGCACTTCAGAAGAACCAGAACCGGTGTAGACCTTAGACGAGGTCCAACGGACGTTACAGAACACATGCCCCCTAGGATAAGAAATGCATATGCGTATGCGTGGATTTTTATCCTGCTCCTCAATTCCCTTTGCAACGCATTTTCCTTCATTCGCAAATAGAGCCCACTTCATACTGCTGCTATAAACGCCACCCAACTGAGGCTTGTAACCTGTGACCTGCGCAAATGAACAGAGATGTTCCCCGACTCCCGAACCGGATTGCGGCTGCGCAGAAAAAAAAAGCTTGATTTCCTTATTTCTTTCCATGGCGTTGTAGTCACCGTCACAGTTGGAACAGACTTAAGCGAGTGCAGTTGGATAGGACAGAGCACTTTGATTTTCTGTTCATGTTGCCGATCCACTTGCCATTAAATCTGGTTGTCTGGCCGTAAATGCGTGTTCGTTGTTTAGCATCTCGGCAACTTACCACAGCCCTTTCCCCCTTGTTTCCAGTTGATTTAAGTGGTTCCCAGCGCGTCGAGTGGAGACTGTGCGTGTTTGAATTACGCACGAAAATTCACTTGACTTAACCGTCCCTGAAACTTTGGGTTCTGTTTGCCACTTGGCTTCACATAGCACAATTGTTCTGAAGCACTCTAGATCCCAATACCATAACAGCATTCTTGGTTTTTTCTGGGCTCTAGGTTAACAGATTCTTGTGCAATTCCACCTTTTTTGCTTTCCACGAAGAAGTTGAAACGTAAATGTTGTGATGAATTAAGCAAAAATAAGGCATTCGAAAAGCAGGCATTTAAGCTATGCAGCATTTTTTTATCAACATTGTTGAATCACGTATTAATCGCTGTTTTTTACTGCATGGCATCTGCTATGGGCTTTTTTAATTTTAGTGTCTTCCTAATAAAATGGAACAACCAAACGCAATCTAAGCTAATGGAACTAAATTACGGGTTTTCACTGCTTTACTGGTGATTATAACATTCCCGTGAATTTTAATAGGCATTTTCCGAACTAGGCATTGTCACACGTATCGTTTTTAAGATAATAGTCAAACCCTACCGTCTAGATCAACTTGTTGATAGCAGATATGAATGCAGGCTGTTTTTGTCATCATTTACAAGATTGTTATTTTGAAATATTAATTAAAATATAGGAGGTTTGTCTTGAACTTCGGCGGTCTAACAAACAGCCTAAAACAACTAAATAATTTAAGCTTCGTGTGAATTAGGCCATCAACTAGAATCTTTGTATTCAGGGGAAGTAAATGAAAGCAATCAAGCCACTTTTGAGGTAACTTTAAAAGTAAATCTGCATGCAAAACTGAGGCCTCCAATTAAATAATCTATGGTATTTTATTCGCCTTTTTTTTAATTGCATTAACTGAAATTTAACTATTCGACTCGTGGTGACTGATGAAAAATTTTCGCTCAGATGGGTGCTACATAACCAGCACGAAAATGGAATCACTAATTAAATTATTCCCATGCCCAGGTTAGGAACTCGTTCGACAAAGCTTGGCCTTTTTTGCCGCAGGCCGGATTCTCGCTGCCTGCTGACCTGTCACAAAAAAGATGATTGAGGACTATCCACAGTCAATTTCTTCGATTTATGCTGCAATTCGACTGCAGATTTGTGTCTTTGGGACTAAAACATTCTGGAAATTCCAATACAAGGGTACTCTATAAAGATTTTGCAAGAAAATCATCCATCTTTCAAGTCAAAGACGTGGGTGTCGGCAATGTGCCGCGAGGATCTATAGTTAATTGACATCTGGATCTACACTGTACTGAAGTTGCGTGGCCTACAAAGATACGTAAGGCGATAGCCAGCTACCTGAATAGAAACAAAATGAAGGTTTGTGATTACTCACCAGGGTATGATGGTGACTTCACTGACTTGGCAAAGGCCATCTTTCTATCATGTCATATCTACTAGTTTAAACAAAGTGAAAAATTTGAACATGACGGTTGATATATGTGTGTTCATTATGTAGAACATTGAAATGAGAATTAAGCTACGTTCTTTACACAGAGATGCATGTATTGAGGGGAAAACGGAATGCAATAAATGTAGGGATAACTTAAACCACCAGGATTTCCCAAAAAAAATATGTAAAAGAATTTCACAGTTCAGTAAATTACACCTATGCCCTGCCGACAGGTGAATCTTTACTAG